AAAAAAAAAAAAAAATATATATATATATATATATATATATATTTGGAAGCAGCCATGGGGTGATGGTCTTCTGCTCCTTCATCCTAGACAGCAGTACCATGAGTGGACTGACAAGTAGTGGTAACACACCGAGGTGGACACTTACTTGTGCATTTATTTGCCCCTACACTTCTATGAAAGTTTAGGTTAAAAAAATGTATCATTGTCCTCATTCAGCACCACAGAAAAGGTGACAATGGGACTCCATGAAGTGAGCAGTCACAAACTTAACATGTTCAAAAAGTATTTCCTTTCTCATAACACACAATTCCAGAAAGGCCAAAGTACAACATCAAGGTATGGGAATGAGAAACATTTTCTTTATGATTCTAACACTAAGAAAAACAGCAGTACAGTGCAACAATAAATGGTGACAACACTCTACTGCAAGTGTCAGAGGCAATAGGAAGAAGTGGTGACTGTAGTGAACGAGAGCATGTTTGCACCATCTACAGAGGGCAGTGGCATTAGCTCCAGTCAGTCACCAGTGCAAAAGCAGGCCCAGACTATGCAGTTTAGGAAAAGCTAGAAATACACATTTCAACATGAAATTGCACAATTTTAAAATGTTGGCCACTTTATGTATTTACTTTTTTCTTTTTTTTTTTTTTGAGTTGGAATCTCACTCTGTCTCCCAAGCTGGAGTGCAGTGGCACACTCATGGCCACGGCCACCCCAGCGTCGACCTGCTGGGCCCCAGCGATCAATCTTCCACCTCAGCCTTCCAAGTAACCAGAACTACAGGTGTGTGCTACCACACCCGGCTAATTTTTTATTTACTGTAGAGACGAGGTCTCATCAAGTTGCCCAGGTTGGTCTCAAACCCACAGGCTCAGGCAAACCACTCGCCTCGGCCTCCCAAAGTGCTAGAATTACAGGCTGAGTCACTGAACCTGGCCAGCTAATTTTTGGGTTTTTTGTAGAGATGAGGTCTTGCTACATTTGCTAGGCTGGTTTCAAACGCCTTAGCTCAAGCGATTCTCCTACCTCGGCCTCCCAAAGTGCTGGGATTACACTTGGTCAAATGTTGGCAACTTTAAAAAAGATTTTGAAGCACCCTATGCAAGAGTACCAGGTTCCAAACTCAGTCCTCCATGCACTCTAGCCCCAGAGACCAAATACAATCATGCCGCGAACAGAGGCTCAGCAGTGTCTACGGTACTGTGATTTTCAACAGCACTAGGTTCAGTCGTTGCTTTGAAGTTCAGTTTTCCTCTCTTCAAAAAGCAGAGTTCCTCATCTGTAAATAGAGCTAATGCAACTCATGGATTAACTCACCATTATTTCTTCTCCTCCATCACTTTCAGTTCAGTGAACTGGCTGGAGTGGTCTACAGAGGAGCAACACAGGCAGCGGTCACTGCCAGCAGGGCCAGGAGCTAGAAAGAGGCAGGAATTTGAAGCCAGTCTGACCTGGGCTGGGATCCTCAGCTCTGCCTATTCCAGCTGAGGGAAACTGAGTAACTTGTTAGCTTGGCCACGCATCATGGCTCACACCTGTAATCCCAGCACTTTAAGAGGCTGAAGTAGGAGGACTGCTTGAGCCCAGGAGTTCAAGATCAGTCAAAACATCAAGACCTTGTCTCTACAAAACATCAAAAAAAATTGGCCGGGCATGGTGGTATGCCCCTTTAGTCCCAGCTACTTGGCATGGTGGTATGCACCTGTAGTCCCAGCTACTTGGGAGGCTGAAGCAAGGGGATTGCCTGGGCCCAGGAGGCCAAGGCTGCAGTGAGCTGTGATCATGCCGCTGCACTCCAGTCTGAGCTATACAGTAAGACTCCACCTCAAAAAAAAGACACCACGGCTTACCCTGGAACATGTTGCCATGTTGTCATCCAACACCAGCCCCAGCAGCCCCATACCAGGCACTTTGTCATCAAGCCCACACCACCACCCTGAGAGGTAGGTCCTGTTATCCTCATTACAACACAGGAGGAAACAGAAGCCCAGAGAGCAGATGCCACACAGGGCTCGTGTGTGACAAGTCACTGTGCAGGGATTTCACAGTTGCCTGTCTCCAAGCCAGTGGCCATAAGGGCAACGCTGCACAAAGTCCCTAGGCCCACAGCCAGCAGGGATGAGGAGTACATAGTACTCATTTCCACCCAATCTTTCTCTTTGGATTTTGCTTTCACCATTCTATCTGAAAGGGTCAGAACAACCACAGGAAGCCATTGATCCAGTCTTTCCCAACTTTAGGCAGTCGAAAAGCCACATGCTGCCCCCCTCCTTGTGAGGATTTTAATCAAACCTTCAATAGAAGGAAAGAGCTTTCAATCAGCCAAGGGCTATCTAGCAGCCAGCAAATGGTTAATTAATACTGCAGACAGGGTGACAATGAAGCCCTTGGCAGCCACCCAAGGGCCAAGCTCATTTAGTCTTTTCCCTGCTTCTAGTTGGCAGGAGGCTACCTGGCACATCCTCATCAGCAGAAGACAGCCAGACACTGTGCCCATCCGTCCCTTCATGATGCAGGTGTGGAACTCACACCAAGACACAGAGAAGTAGCAAGAGCAAGAATGCTAGAGATACCTCGGGAACGCACTGGTGGCTTCTCTGGTTATTAGGGGCAAGCAGCAAAAAGACAAGAATTCTAGTCTGGATGAGAACAGAAAGGGTCATTCTTCATGGCCAAAAGGTGACAGCCTTGAGCAGGGATGGAATGGAGAAAGAAGTCCAAAATTAAAAGGGTGCTGTCGCAAAGAGGGTAGCTGGTCAAACACTGATTTGGTGTCAGGAGTTAGACAGTTGCTTCAGATGAGGAGCTCACTAAATTCCACTGACAGCTCCTCAAGACAGGCAAGACTCTCCCTCTTTTCAGGTGAAAAAGACTAAAGCTCAGAAGGAACTTTCTCAAGATCATACAGATTTACCCTTGTGGACTGACTTCAAAGCCAGGGTTGGCTCTGCCTCGCCTAGCAGCTGCCCTCAGCTAGACGGAAGCAGCCACACCAGCTCCTCTAATTCACTCCCCTGGAGATAACCAAGGTGGGAATGAGAAGAAAGATGAGGGCTTGGGAAGCCTAGGGAGTCTCTGAGAAAGCTGTGTCCTTGAAATCTCATCAACCAGCCCATAACACCAAGCCACCCCCACGCGGGGACTCAGAGACATGACACCACGGAAACAGTGGAGGCTGACATCCGAAATGGCCCAGGCAATTGGCAGTGACTTCCAGGAGGAAGGCCTTGGATGTTGGCTTTTCTCTGACTGACTCCCTCCTTCCCTGGCTTTCTTTAAGAAGGAAGGAGCACGGAAGCACAGAAGTAAATTCAACAGTGAGAAATCCCTCTTGAAGCTGGTCCTGGACCCAACTGGAGTCACATTCATGTCTGAAAACAAGAAACCAGCGAGAGGAACAGTAAGAACCAAAGATCTGCTGAAGTTGTTACTCATCTTATGCACATAACAAATATCACATATAGCTGGGCGCTGTGGCTCACGCCTGTAATCCCAGCACTTTGGGAGGCTGAGGCGAGAGGACTGCCTGAGTCCAGGGGTTCGAGATCAGCCTGGGCAACGTGGTGAGACCTCGTCTCTACAATAAATCAAAAAATTAGCTGAGCGTGGTGGTGCATGCCTGTGATTCTAGATACTTGGAAAGCTGAGCTGAAGAATCACCTGAACCTAGCAGGTTGAAGCTGTGGTGGCCATGAGCATGCCACTGCACTTCAGCCTGGGCAGTAAGACTCCTACTCAAGAAAAAAATAAAAATAAAAATAAATGTATATATCACATGTAACCCCATAAATTTGCATATATTATATAAAAGAAAAATTTTAAAGAATACATATTTTCAAAAGGTCTGTAGAAGGACTGAGAGAAAAGAAGAATGATACAGCCACATGCAGGAGAGGGAAGGGCAGAGGGAGCAGTCAGTGGAGAATTTCCAAACACTTTCACCAAACACAATGAGGCCTGACTTTCTGCTGAGAAAGGAAACTGGTAAGATAACACATTTGACTCAGCAGTGACACTAACATTATCTTAGTGGTAAGAAAGATTCAGGAAGTCAGGCGGTAGCAGCAAGCAGGGCTGGAATGGAAGGCTGCGGGGAGGAGACCCCAGGACATTTGTCAAACGACATGACACACTTCAAGGCGCAGGTCCAAAGCAAACCACTTGGAGCAGTCTCCTCATGTTCACAGGGGTGATAATAACAGTCCCGTTGCCAGGACTCACAGGACTGTTGTGAGAACTTATGAGAACTGGACGAGTTAATTCACATCAAAGACTAACAAGAGCCAGGCTTGCACTAAGTACGAAGCATTAGTAGCTATTATCTCACATTATCCCTGCCATTCACACAGGAAATGCCTTCCTAACAGTAAATGTATGGGAACAGAACTCTCAGCTCAGAGTTCCTGCTGCTGTTGTTGAAGACATTTAATTATGAAATGCCATACTATCCTCATGCATAAAATTAAAATAGATTATTAATTTCCCAGCAACTGCCATACTACATTGGGTGAAATAAGCACTTGGTGGCAGGGCCCCGAACCTAGAGGAGCCTGTACTACGTAGCTCTGAAAAACCTGCACACAAGATGACTACATTTAAACATGCCAAACAACACCATTATTATTTTTTACTACAAATGAGACACAAATTTCTGCGCGCGCGCGCACGCACACACACACACACACACACCCCAGTCCTACACAATGACTGCCTTGCCCACTCTCAGAAAATAAATAAAAAGAAAGAGAGGGTAACAGTAAAGTCAAGCTCCCCTGAGCTGCAGCCAGGCAGAGAGGTACCTGTCTCGGTTTTGCTGGCGAAGCCCGCAGCCTGCTTGAGTGCTGCTGCTGTGAGGGCCAACCCGCGACTCCTCTTCATGCCATGCTGCAGGACGGCTTCAAACTGGGCACACAGACAGGTGACCCTGCGAGAGAACCAATGACTCATCAATCTACCCAGAGAAGGAAGTAGCAACCAGGGTGGGCCCACCACCTCCAGGGAGTGAGTGAGCCCCCAGGTGTCAACTTAACGCAAAGGAAGACAAGAGACACCTGGGTTTGCAGGCTTGGTGGCTGACCTGCACCACCCACACCTCCCCAAACGATGTTCATCTTACATAAGCTGGGGCACCCAGCACAGGCTAGCCAGATTCACGAGAATGGTGAAGGCATAGTCACAATTCCTAAGAAAGAAGGGAAAGGGAACGGGTGCCAGCTGGTGGGGGAGGGGGAAAACAACAATTTAAAAACCAATCCCTTCTGTGTGGGGAGCAGCTGGGTGTTAATTGTATCCAATTCACAAGTTTTAACTCTAATTCATATGACATGTAGTTTAAGGAAAAAGATTATATTTTCAAAGGCTGAAAATTCACCAGACTGTCAAATTGGAAACATTGTGTAATTTCATGGTTGGTTACATGCTCTAAAAAAAAAAAAAAAAAAAAAAATGAATTCTGATTCTTGTTCTTTTTCTGTTGTAAGAGATTACATTGTGAACTCAGATCCAGAGTTGACAGAATTTTCAATTAAGTTACAATTACTGTGCATTTAATTGAATTTGTTTTTCTTTCTTTCTTTTTTTTTTTTTTTGAGTCGGAGTCTTACTCTGTCGCCCAGACTGGAGTGCAGTGGC